CCTGGGCGGAGCCAGGGGAGGGGACAGGGCTGCTGTGGTCAGTGACAAATGCGGGCTGCAGTCCTGCCTGACCTCTGCCCTGTCCTGAGCCCTAAGGACTGCCACCCTGCTGTGTGCACACTAAGCTGCAAGACAGAGTGAGTACGGACACTGTGGCTGTGGTCTCGCGGGCCTGAGGCTGCGGGGAGGGACCCAGGGGCACTCTAGAGTATCGGGTCTGGAGGGCTCAACATCTCTCGGGAGTCTCAGAGGGACGGGAAGGGCCCTCCACAGTGCTGAGAACAAGAGGGGGCCACCCGAGCCGCAGGGGAAATCCTCCCAGTGGCGCGACCTTGGGCTGCACCCTGAAGCTGGCCGAGCCTCCGTGTCCCCACAGGTGGGAGGGAGGTAGTCACAGCCCTTGCCCGTGTGACTGAGGCACAGCCCCAGGGGCAGTGCCCACCAGCCACACCTGGCTGGAACGTAGATCAGTGTGGTTGTCACCTTTGGAGGGGCCACTCGGGTCAACCGCTAGGTTTCTGCTCACCCTGCGATGCCCAGGACAACACCCCCACCCCCACACACAGAATGCTCCTGCTCTGAGTGTCAACAGGACAAGATTGAGAAACCCTGACCCAAGGCAGTGGCGACAAGCCGTCTGCTGGATGGGGGCCGCTCCCTCACGTCGGAGAGCCTCAGGAAAAGTTGCTTCCCTAGATAAGGCGCCTGGTGGAGGCAGCCTTGAGGAGGGCGGGCGGAGGCTCGGGAGCTCCAGGAGCCTTGGAAGTTTGCTAAAGAACCCAAGCCGAGCCAGGTGAGCGGGGTGTCCGGGTTTTCTAAGGATGGGCTCTCGGCAAGGAATGCCACAGTGAGGGGTCGCAGCTCCCTGGGCCGGTGTCCTCATTCATCGGTTGGAGCCTAAAGCGTGGAGCGTGAAGAGGCTGGGACACCTGGGGGTGGAGGACGTGTTCATGACATTGACCAAGGTGACGCACACGGCATCTTTGGTCTCCAGGCTCCGGCCCTGTTCTCTAGGGATGCAGGGCTGTTGGTCAGTTAGACCTCAACAGAGAGGGTGTTAAAATATAAGGCCCAGCTGAGCCACGACTTGGGGTCGCATGGCTGGAGAGCCCGGAGCTGGGGTGAGCCCAGCAGCAGCTCCCAGCCTGGCTGTGTCCACCCCAGTGTCCAGCTGGCATCTGCTACCTCTGAGGAGGAGGGGGGTCCAGGCTTGTATTCCTTCATTTATTCCACAGTGGCACATGGGGTCCCTCCAGATAACTGGTGGAGCTCTGGGAGAAACATGAGGAGCCATTATGGGAAATAACAGGGGGAGGGAGAGGTTCAGGCGTGGGGGGAATGTCACCAAGGGTGACATGAAAGCAGAGCATGAACCTGTGCAGAAGTGGCCTTGGGGGGGACGGTCAGAAGGGAACTCTAGAAGAGAGTGGTGTGGGGGAGGGCCCAGGGCAGGACAGAGACTGCTGGGGTGGGGGAGTCTGGAAGGGAAGCATTAGGCCTGGGGACTCACGTGACCCAGGCAGAGCAGGTCAAGGTGAGGTTGACGGGGGCCAGCGCAGCCAGGACACACAAGGATCCTCAGGCCACATACAGTGGGCAGCAGTGGTCTTCTGTGGCCGGGGGAGCTGGGCCAAGGCCGTCAGGGAAGGAGCTTCTGTCCCATGCCGTGTGTACAGTGGCCCCCGGCACAGAGGGGAGGCCACTAGTGGTCCAGGTGGAAGCAGGGTCTCCCCTTAGGGTGGTGGGGAGAGTGGAGAGAGGCAGGGAGGTCGGAGGCCTATGTGGAAATAGAAATCCACAAGCCTTGCTCATGGGCTGCAGACGGAAAGGTCAAGGTTGCTTCTCCCATGAAGCCCTACCCAGGTCTTCAGGGTCTGGACGAAGCGCCGTCCTCGTCAGATCCACGCCCTTGTCCCTTCGTGATTAGCAGATGCTGGAAAGACCCTCCTCACCTGCACACTTCTCTCGGCTGAGTCTGGAACCAGACCAGGTGGGACCTTGTTGCCCAATTTGGAATGAAAGCCAGCAGATTTGACGTCCACGTATCGTAGGGGACCAGTGGAAAACAGGGCAGAGCCTCCTCCCCTTCCCCCTGCACTGCCACATACCTCAAGCTTGAAATTGCAGGTCAACTTGAGTGGTCTCCTCTCTTCCTCCTGCAGGAATGTTAATGTCAGGGTCCGGGCTCTCCCGGCACATAGCGGGGCTGGTCTGCGGCCAGGGAGGCTCCCTGGGCCCGCTCAGAGGACCCAAAAGGCTATCAAAGCCACGTATTTCCACCAGAGGCCCAGGAGCTTGATGGCGAAACCCAGGCTTTATAACCATGAAGCTCAAACACACCCTGAGGCCTCCACTTACAGAGAGACTTCTCTTCACACCACATTGCAGGGGACGAGCCCTTGAGAGGGGACATTGGGAGTGAACACGTCCGTTCCACTAAGCCTCAGTTAATTCACTGTAAGATTGGGGCTAATAACACTTAATTTTGGAGAATATTTTATGTAGTAATTGTAGTGCTTCATAAATAGTGGCCTTAATAAAAGGGTGGGCCCAAATGGAGCAAGACTTCTGGGTCCCAATCCTGTGGCCCAAGGGAACCTGAGTGAACCTGGGACCCTCCACCCCATGAGCAGACCTTGCTCTCCCAGGAGACCTAGGGACTTCTCACTCTCAGGTCTCTGGTGTTCAGGGGTTTGGGGACATGGTGGGGGCAGCTGTTGGCCACAGCACCTTCCAGTCCTGGTGTTGCTGATGAAGAATGCAAGGGTTGGGTTGGGTGGCCTGGCCAGCTGCCTAGCAGCCTCACGAGGGCTCTGCCCACACAGGATGTCCCCTGCTCCTGGCTGCTCCAGCCATGGGGTTATCAGCTCTGTGCTGATCTGCAGGGGACTCAGCCAAATGGTTTCTCTAGGGCAACTCGATCTGCAGGAGAGGGCACACTGTACTATAGATAGACTAGTTTAAAGGACACACAGTAGTACACAGCCACCTGGTCCCTCACAGAGCTCCAGAGATGGCCGTCACTGTGGGAACAGGGAGGGAGACCAGCCTAGAATTTGGGAGTATGTTCCTGAATTATCTGCAGATTAGGGCTGTCGCAGCGGCTGCTGAACCAGGATCAAAGATGCAGGAGGCTGAGACTCCAAGACACAATCAGGGTCAGAACTGGTCTAAGTCCACCCCTTGCCAGTCAGCAGGAGGCTCCTCCTTGGACCTTGGATTACCCCTCTGTAAGATGTAGAGAGAGCCCACCTCCCTGGGGGGGGGGGGGGGTGTGGTTGAAGGAGTTGATGACAGCAGAGCACCTAGCAGAGGGTGGGCAATGCCCCCACCCCCCACCCCGTGGCCCATGACTGCAGAGGCTGCTGCTGCATTGGGCTCCCCACGGCCAGACATTCTGCAGGCAGAACATTCTTCTCTGAGCCCAGGTGCAAATGGGAGAGGAGGGCTGGTCAGGATGACCTACCTGAGCCCTTCAGCCTTGTTCAAAGACGGGCCTGTGGTCCTGGTCCGCCTGATGCCCCAACCTATTCTTGTCCCAAGGTCTCCCCAAGTGGGCCACTCGGTAGCAGTTTCCAAAGCTGCAGTTTGGGTTCCTTTAGGGTTTGGCTTTGTCTGGGTCCTGTGACTGGCCGGCTGTCTCTGCTCACCCTGGCTCTAGGGGACCTGATGACCTGGTGTTTGGAGAATAAACCTAGCAGGGAAGGACTTGCTCCAAGAACAGTGTGCAGGATGTAGATGCTCCCCAGGGCTGGTCGAGCTGCCTCCAGGCACAGCTGAGGACATGGGGTGCCAGGTGTCAGGTGTCAGGTGGAGCTTTGGCCAGACAAGCCATTCAGATGCCTCATATTTGCATAGCACTTGCTCCCTGGGAGGCTCTGCTCCCAGAACCCCGTGGGCCAGTGCTGCTTCTACCCTGACTCACAGTGGGGAGGGTGGCTTGGGGAGCACTGGCCACCCAGAGTCACAGTGTGAAGTCCTAGTAAGCTGAGAGGTGAACCAGGCAGCTGGCTCCAGAGCGGGGCTCCTCACCACTATGGAGGTAGAAGGAGGACTTGGGGCCACAGCCAGATGGGGGGCACAGGCAGGAGGGAGGACACGAGCAGAGACAGAAGGCCTGTGAGCAGGAGCAGTGGACCACCCTGCAGGACTTCACTCTTGGTGTGTCTGTGTCCTGACTTCCCTATCCTCACCTTTTTTAAAAAAAAAGAACACAGTCTTGTTGGCTTGGGGCACACTCCAGTGACTTCATTTTAATGCCATCAGCTCTTTAAAGATCCTTTCTCCAAATACAGTCACATTGTGAGGTGTCCAGGGTCAGGAATTTTATGGGCACTTTTCAGATGCTGATGAAAGACGGGGAGGTCGGAGGCTCACAGTAAGAGTGCGGAGTTTTTCAGGAGGAGATGCGGCTCTCTAGGGACAAAGGTGGCCTGTAGCAGCCCTGGCGGACGGATCAGTACCATGATACCCTGACCACCGGGCTCAGGGGACATGCAGTGGCCAAGCCAGCAGGGCAGAGGCCCAGCGGGAGGAGCTGGTCTGAGCTCTCAGAGGGACCGGAGCCTTGCCAAGCGCTGGGCCATGATACCCCAGGGAAGGTCAGAGGCTTCTCACCCCTGGAAACCTCCCCGATGCCCACCACCGACGGGAGCCTTGATGTGAACGAGAGGCCAGGCGTCCCGCGCTGGCAGGCCCCTGCCTGTCCTCGGGTCTGCACTTGCTCTGCCTTCTCCTTCCTGGCCCTATCGTAGATGTCCACATCCCCGGTCCAGCCCCTCCAGCCATAGCGCCCTCCACAGGCCCTCACCCCTGACCTCATGGGTACTGTCACTCCTCTTTGAGGCCACATGGACCCTACCGGAGGCTGGGTGATGAGTGGTGACAACTCTCTAGAGCATCAGCTTCACCTGTCTCTCTGCCCACAGCTCCAAGAACTGCTGCCGGCGCCCTCGCTGAGAACACCCTCCCACATCCCCTCCAGGACAGCGGCAGCCGCCATGAAGCTGGTCCTCCTCTTGTGCCTGACGCTGATCAGCCCTCAGCTGGCCTCCCTCCGACGCCACAACTCTCGTGAGACAAAGAAGAAAATCAAGGAACCCGCTGTCCATGACACAGTGGCCCCCAGCACCAGGGAATTCACCTTTGACCTCTACAGAGCCTTGGCTTCCAATGCCCCTGGACAGAACATCTTCTTCTCTCCCCTGAGCATCTCCATGAGCCTGGCCATGCTCACCCTGGGGGCCCGCTCCAACACCAGGGCGCAGATCCTGGAGGGCCTGGGCCACAGCCTGCAGCCCGGCTCGGAAGAGGAACTCCACAACACCTTCCAGAAGCTTCTGCAGGAGCTCAGTCAGCCCAGAGAGGGCCTCGAGCTCAGCCTCGGCAACGCCCTCTTCATGGACCCTATAGTGAGCGTTCAGGAGGGCTTTCTGAGGGCCATGAAGACTATGTACCAGGCGGACATTTTCCCCACCAACTTTGGGGACTCCACAGAAGCCCAGAAGCAGATCAATGACTACGTGGCAAAGAAAACCAAGGGCAAGATTGTGGACTTGATCCAGAACCTCGACAGCACCCACATCATAGTGATGGTGAATTACATTTTCTTTAAAGGTGAGGTTACAAGTTCCGGAGAGGTAGAGCCGTTTCTCCCTGGATTCCCTGAAAACGCCCCTGCTCTCCAACGGCTCATCTGCTCCTCTTTGCAGATGCTGAGCCCTGTGACCTGCAGGGGAAGGGGGACAGACAGAGTAGGGGAAGAGGGGAGAAGAGGGGGGAATCAAACTGTCAACCCCCAGAGTCACAAATAGTGTCTCAGAGCCTTTGGGTTACTACAGCAAAACACCACACACTGGGTGGCTTATAAGCAACAGAACTTTATTTCTCACATTTTTAGAGAACAGGAAGCCTGAGATGGAGCTTCGACTCAGTGTCTGCCGAAGCCAGGATCCCCACAGCTAGCACATTCACACAGCGGGAGGGGCGCGTGGGTCCCTGGGTCCCTCCCACAGCGGCACTGACCTCACTTACGAGGACTCTGCTTTGGCAACCTAACGGCCTCACAGAGGCCCTGCCTCCTGGCACCATCACCTTGGGGTCTAGGGTTTCAACAAATGGATGTGGGGAGAGGGAACAAATTCAGAGCAAGGAATAGCAGGCTTGGATTCTGAGTTTCTTGTCCCTCAGTCCAGGACTGGTCCCCTTATAGCAACTGTGAAATAAGCTAAGCATTGGTTCTGGGGCAGGGCCCACCTTGAGAACTATTAAGAAGTCAGAAGCGGTCATTTGCCATCCTTGATTAGCAGTGCCCATGGGAAGCAGCCAGAGAAGGAGCCCAGGGAAGGCCTCCCAACAGGGATGATCATGTCCTTCCAGGACCCCTTACACCTCTGTGCAAAACCCAGATCAAAATGCAACATCAGGAAAAGAGTAAAACACAGAGCACCTCCCCTAGACATCAGGGAGCACCTCAGGCATCAGAAAATCAAAGGGCTTCCAAAGACATGAAAGCCAACCTTCTTGTTTTTCAAATATGGAAGGAGAGGCACCATGACAAGTGGAGACATACCCTAGGGTTATAAAGGGACCTGCCTTCATAGTCCAGGGTGCAGGTTCTGCTGCACTACAGTGAAGGCTCTATACAAGGAGACGCTCTGCGACTCTGCTTCCTGAATCCACTCTTCCTTTGCAGCACAGAATGCCTCGCCCTTACCCAGTTCTCTTCCCTCCCTGTCGCCCCCCATCTTTAGCTAAGTGGGAGACAGGCTTCAGCCCCGAAAACACCAAAGAGCAAGATTTCCACGTGAACTGGGACACCACCGTGAAGGTGTCCATGATGAACCGTGAGGATCAATATTACTACTTCCTGGACCGCAACCTCTCCTGCGAGGTGGTGGGGGTCCCCTACGAAGGCAACGCCACTGCCCTTCTCATCCTCCCCAGCGAGGGCAAGATGGTGCAGGTGGAGAACGGCCTGACCGGGAAAAGGCTGGGGAAGTGGCTTCACTTGCTCACCAAGAGGTACTCTTCAGACCACTCCAGGGCCGGCCTGACCCTGCCCGAGCCCAGGGACATCCTTGGCCCCCAGGACCACACAGTGGTGGTGGGAAGGACCCACCCAGCTTTGGAGCTCCTTCCAAACCCAAAGTCACCCAGCAAAGTCCTAGGCCAGCTGGAGGGACCCGGGCAGGAAGCTGGGTTCGCTGGGGAGGTGCCAGAGTGGGGCAGCCCAAGTCCAAGTCCAGACCCAGGGGAGGTCTGTCCGAGATGAAGGGCAGAGAAGCCCAAGAAGCTGAGGGGCGTGCCTGGAACACAAGGTCAGGGAGTCCCGGTTCGGGCTGAGGACGGCTCTTTTCTTTCTCTAGGCAGCTGGACCTTTACCTTCCCAAGTTCTCCATCGAGGGCTCCTATCAGCTGGAGAAAATCCTGCCCAAGATAGGGATCAGCCAAATCTTCACCTCCCAGGCCGACCTGAGCGGCCTCACCAACCACTCCAACATCCAGGTGTCCGAGGTGAGTCCAGAAGTCCCCGAGCCACCGCCTTCAGGAATGGCCTGCCCTGCCCTGAGATCGCCCCGCCCCCTCCTCTTTTCCACAAAGATGTTACTTTGGGCTTCTTGCTCCTTGCCATAGGAAGCCATCGTGCCTGGGGGGATGGAGTGCAGTCATAACTGGTCAAAACTCAGAATCCTGTGCAAGCCCCTTCCCTTCCTAGCTGCGTGAGCTCCAGCAAATACCTGAGACTCTGAGCCTCCTCTCTCTCGTCTGTCAAACGGGGAAGTCACACCTCACTGTGAGGTGTCACGAGGATTCAGTGACTTGACACACGTGCAGTCTCCTCTGGGCACAGCGGCTGGCACAGTGGCTGTTCAGATGTTCCACTTCCTCCCTCTCCCAGGCTCAGGTGCACAGACGCCTGTGTTGGAGCCGTAGGTGGCTTTGCCATTTCCCCGCGAACCCTTCTCCCAGCCCTGGGTGGCCAGATAATGCCTGCTGTCTCCCTGCAGATGGTGCACCGCGCCGTGGTGGAGGTGGACGAGTCAGGAACCAAAGCAGCTGCAGCCACAGGGACAGTCTTCATGTTCAGGTCGGCCCGACTGAGTTCTCAGAGGGTCGTGTTCAACAAACCCTTTCTGCTGGCCATCGTGGAAAACACGGACTTCCTCTTCTTTGGCAAAGTGACCCAACCCTGAGGGCAGTTTTCTCCTGGGATTCACAGGCTCCACAGTGGGAGACAGGGGTGAGCATGGCCCATCTATCTGCTAGTAGCTGGTGATGAACATAGGTTTAGCTGACTATCGGGATATCACAAATAATAATAAGATCAATATACTGGTGATTACTTCTTACACAATTGCAAGACATGGGTGCTTGGAGAAACCTGGAGAACATTTGGTCTTGACCTTGCTATCCATCAGTAGAGATTGGCACTGAAGCTTAGAAAGACCAGTTGACTCATCCAAGCTCCCACAGCATTAGTACCCCAGACAGGCCCAGAGTTCAGGCCACTGATGCTCAGATCAGTGGTACAAACGCATTTGGAAGACACTTCCGGTTGCTGAGAGACACCAGGAGGCAAATTTTTAAGTTTTGTCCCCCATCTGGATGGGGCTACCCACCCTGCTTTAACCAGCTGTGTGACAGTGGATTCACACTGGCCCCCTCTGGACTTCAGGATCCTCATGTCTCCAGTGAAAGGATCCCAATAAAGGACCCTTGAAATATTTAAAAGGTTGGACTGTCCCATGTCAGCCTTGGTTGATTTCAGCACATTTGAGTGTTAGGTAAAACAGAGGCCAGGGTGGAAATGTCCCAATGCAGGATTGTACTAACCGGTGAATAGTTATCCTTTCATGGGCCTGGCTGGGGAAGACAGAACTGAGGTCTGTTGCAAAGGGGAGAGGAGCGGCTGCAGACCCTGACGACTAACCTTGTGAATTTTATGTCAGCAATAATAATAAAGCATTTTTCAAATACTGGGCCTCGTTGTCTTTGTGGCGGCAGCTCTAGGAACGGTGACACCGACAACTTGCCATGCTCTAGACTTGGTGCTGGGCACTTGCCTGCATGCTCCCATTCACTCCTCACGGCACCCCCAAGGCAAGGTGCCACCTTCATCCCCAGTTTAAAGACGGGAGGTGAGTCTTGGTGAGGCTGGGTGGTATACCCAGGTACAGAGCCCAGATGACTGGATGTCCCCAGAGCCACCGGCTCAGTCCCATGCTCCGCCGTGGAGGAGAGATGATGAGACAAGGGGAAGTCCCGTGAGTGGCCCAGGAAAGCTCCTTTTCTGCCTTTCCCAAGTCAACAAGCTCCCTTCACTGTCAAATGAAGGGGACCAGACACCAGAATTGAAGGGTGAGCACGTGAGTGCATCTTCCTCACTCGGCCTCTTACTGTCCCCAAGTTAGCTGCCCCCAGAGCCCCTGCCCACCCGACGTGCATGTTCTTATCCTGATTTCCTTGAGGCTGTGCCCACTGCTGTGACCTCAGGGCCTGGACTGTATTAAAGCTGGCACCCACGGGAGGTACCAAGGCCAGAAGCCTGGGTTTTGACAATCCTCCATAGAACTGAGCACCTGCTGTGTGCCAGCCTGTGCCGGATGCTTTGCATGCGTGATCTCATTCATTCCCTGACAACCCACCAAGATTTGTCATTGTCCTCATTTTATAGGGGAAAATAGCTAGTGACAGTGAGGGCCAGACTCCGAGATCCCAGGTGGCCCACCGGTTGACCATGGCAGGGTGTGTGGCTGCAATCAGACCCAGACCTCTTGTTTGTGTTTATGCCTAGAGCTCAGGGCAGCTGGCCAGGACTGGACCTCCTCATGGGGTCACCCTGCCCCTGTGTGCCTTTCCCTTGCATAATGTCTAGTCTCTCTTGGCAAATATTTCTCCCCCTGTTTACCCAGCCTGTCCAAGGTCAGAGGGGGGCCCTGCCCATGTGTCATGGATAAGGACATGGTCCAGTGCCGTCCAAAGTTCACTGGGCAAACAGGCCCAAAGCAGGAGCCGTGGGGAGTCTGGGGTGGGGTCTGGTGCACTGAGCCTCTGCCGCCTGTCACACACCAAAGCACTGCTGTCAGGGTCCTCACAGGCCATTTAGCTCAATCATCACACGGTCCTGGGGTGCACAGAATGATATAGCAGCTCAGAGAGAGAGAGAGAGATAAACTTTTAAGGAGCCAGGAAAGGCTTTGCAGAAGGGAGACAGAGCTGGTCTCGAAGAGTGAGTAGAAGGCTTGGGAACATGTAGGAGACCTGCAGGCCAATGGAATGTCTGGGGCAGAGCATGATGTGGGCGAGCTGTGGTGTGCGGGAAAATCATGGAGACTCTCTGGACCAGTGTTGGAAGTGTGAAGGGGGACGAGGAGGAAGGAGGGGACCATGCTGGTGGTTCAGGGACAAGGACCCTGGATACAGGGTCCACCACTATTTCTTTCATTGCTATCACTTTACCTTGGGGTTCATTGCACATCCTGAGTCTCCTGCACCCCTTCTTCCATCTGCAGCTCAGCCAATGCCTCCACTCCCCCTCTAGGGGGCGCTCACACCCTCTCCAAGGCTCCACCAGCCCCTTCTGAGGACTGGCCTCTGCCATTGAGTAAACTAAGGTAATGTCCTGTAGGGTCCCTGTTCATACAGGCCTGACCTTTCCCCTCAGGACCCTCGTTCTTAGCCATGGTACTGGCTTCCTAAGGCTGTCATAACAAAGAGCCACAGTCAGGGTGGCTTAAGCAACAGAAATTGGCTTGCTCACAGTTCTGGAGGCTACTAGCCCAAGACCAAGATGCCAGCAGGATTGGCTTCCTCTCCTGTTGGCTTGGAGGCACCATGTCCCTGTGTCTTCCCTCTGTGCGTGTCTGTGTCTAAATTTTCTCTTCTTTTTTTTTTAAATAATTTATTCTATTTATTTTTTAAAGAGAGAGAGAGAATTTTTTAATATTTATTTTTTAGTTTTCGGTGGACACAACATCTTTGTTTGTATGTGGTGCTGAGGATCAAACCCGGGCCGCACGCATGCCAGGCGAGCGCGCTACCACTTGAGCCACATCCCCAGCCCTAAATTTTCTCTTCTTATCAAGACACTAGCTATATTGGGCTAGATCCACCTAATGACCTTATTTTAACTCCATCATTTCTTTAAAGGTCCAATTTCCAATTGTCACATTCTGAGATATTGGGGGTCATGACATTAGCATGTGAGTTTTGAGGGGGACACCATTCAACCCATAGGCCACCTCACCTTTCAAGTTCCTGATGCTCCTTGTGGAGCTCACCCTTTGGAAAGTACACATTATTCCCCTCTCTACCCACGGGGACTCTGGGGCCACCTCTCGGGAGTGTAACCTGATGCAGAGGAACCACACTGTGCTGAAGACCAGAACTGGTTCCACCATCTGTCCCCACAGAGACCCGGGTGAGACGGTGACTTTGGTCTCCAGGGTAAACACTTCCCACCCCAGTGATGAGCCATGCCAGCCAGTACCCCATTTCCAGGCTTGTTGAGCTCATTAATCAAAGGCTACCTGGGGGTGCCACTAGGAGTCTACCCTGGAGCTGGTGCAAGGGTAAGCCCAGCAGCCATGGACCTGGCAATAACCAGGGAAGCAAATAGATTAGTCACAAACTGTGATGAGAGCGACTCATTTGTCCTCAGATAGTTACCGAGTGTCCACTGTGTGCCTGGCACTGTTCCAAGTGCTGGAGGAAAATTTTAAATTTCCAAAACCCTAAAATCCCTATCCTTGGGGAGCTGATATTCTAACATGGAGCAAGAGCAAATTAAAAAATACTTTTTTTAAAAAAGCAGAAAAATAGAATTCATTGCATGTGTGTTGAGGAGGGGGAGGGCTGCAGAGGGTGACACACACCTCAGAGCGTGGCACGGGAAGTGGGGGACAGTCCAGTGACAGCAGAGAACTAGTAGGATCCACCTTGGCTGAGGGATGGAAGTGGTGTCACCAGCAACGAGCCGTATTGACATCTCCTGTCCCTGACACCGTGTGAGGAGCCAGGGATCAGTGGCATCTTTCCCCAAACCCGTGCCTCGGTCCATCATGGAAAATAGCGGTCGCACCCAAGCAAAGGGACGTTCAAAAAGATGCCACCAGCCTTCTGCAAAGTACTAATTCAGGAACAGAAAGGAGATCCTGAGGACCACCGGGGACCTAAGGAGACTAAGGAGACCCGTGACCAAGTACAGCTTGGGAGTCGTGAACGGGCAGTGGGTGGCGTCCTGCTAAGGCTGGGCTCTCCAAGGTTCGCTTCCAGGTGTTGACAAATCCGCTGCGGTTCCACGGGCTGCTTATGTTAGGGGAGAAGCAAAGCTGGAGCCCTCCGTACGGTTTCCATGACTTTTCTGTAAATCCCAAAGTGTCTCAAGTTTAAAAAAAAAAAAAACATTTTTAAAAAAAAATACAATGTTCCAGAAGAAAAACCAAAAAAAATCCAGAAAGGGAAGAGCAGTGGGGTTGAGAGTCCCAAAGGCCAAAGAAGGTGACTAGGTAAGGAAGAGGATGGGTGCTAAGAGAGGATCTGGGGCCTTCTGGAGTCAGGGCACACAGGGTGTCTCCAGGGTGATGGCATTGAAGCCAAGACCCAAGGGGACAGAGGAGCAAAAGAGGCAGAGGCTCGGTGTGACTTTGTGAGCAGAGTCCCAGAGGTGGGCACCGGTGTGAAGAGGGCGCCTGTGGCTGGAGCAGGTGGTGGAAGGGGAAGAAAGCAGAGGCTCCCTCCTCCACCGTCACCAGGACACCGGGCAGGGTTCTGAGCAGAGTCACAGTGATACCAAGGCTACGTCCGGGTGCCTGGCACTTGTCTGAGCCTTTGTATATATTGACTCAGTTAATGAAGAGGCACCTTCAAAGGGCTGGGCACGGTAAGCAGGTGACATCACTGGCCCTCTCCAGCTTCCTGTGGTCACTCCACAGCACTGACCACCCCCTACCTCCCCAAGATCGTGTAGGAGGAAATAAGGGGGCACCAAGGTGACTGTGCCAATCACGATCCCAAAAGACAATCCCTAACACCACGATCTTCCCGATTCAAAATTTCTAAAGTCTATAATTCCTCAAGATCAAAATTTCAAGCATCACAATCCTGAAAGATTAAAATCTGTGGATATTATGAAAGCAGAAAATCCCAGAAAACCCACAATCCCCCTTGAGAAATGGAGGCCATTATAAGAGGG